TCAACACCAACGCGCCTGCGTGGCCGCCGCCCCGGCCGTCACGAGACCCAGTCAGCTGACCTCAGCGCTTCCGCCTTGCGCCCCGCCCACGGGCGAGCATTGCCCCTCCCTCTGCGACCCATTCGCCGCCTTCCGGGAAACGCCGCGTGCGCGCCGCCCGCCGTTACGCCTCTCGGGAAGTACGCGTGCGCAGAGCCAAAGGCTGAGCCCAGAGAGCTCTAGGCCAAGCGGATTGCGAGGAGCCACGCCCCTTGGCGCGTCTCCGGAGGCCACGCCCCCTGGAGCGGGTTGCGCACGTGGAGCCACGCCCCTCAGCCTGTGTCCTGCGAGGTACTGTAAGTCTGAACCAGAGCGTCCTTGCTGCGCAGCCCCTGGACTTCAGTGTCCTGGCGCATCCACGAAGCCATTGGAAGCCTCTGCACATCTCTGGTGTAGCTACAGTGGGAGCCTAAAGGTTTTACTTGCTCTTGACACACCCAGACCCACAGCTGAGCGGAGGGGTTAAGTTTGGGGGGGGGCTGTGAGCTGATGGAGACCGAAGCCTCAAAGGTCAAAGGCCTTTGCGGATGGAGTGCTGGACAGGTAACACTGCTGCCATCATTGTCCTCTGATCCCAGAGCCAGGGGTTTACTTAAGGCAAATTAACCTTCAGCTGTCTGAGATGGGGATTCTCCTGCAAGTTCAGTAAAATGAGGTCTAGTCCCATGGTAGTAGACTTTAGTGCGTGACTCAAGAACCTCTCTCTGGACAGCAACTCTGGAACCATATAATAAAGAGGGGGACTCCGAAGATCGAGAGTGTATCAGAATGAAATAAGGGTTCAGATGCCAGTTGTGTCGGGTCTGTGAGCAATAGTTTAAGGGAAGTCTGCCTCGTCTCAAACCTGAGTTGTACACACTGCCCTTTAAAAAGTGAATCTATGAAAAGAAATTTTTTCTAAAGACAAACTTGGATGGACACAGTTCTAGGTTTAAAGGCTTGTGGTGAGCTACAATATTCCTTTTGTGTAGCAACCCTGGAATTGTAATTTCTCAGGGACCCCATCTGTGCTTGGCTCGTTTTATAGATGGTGGTTAAGGGGTGAAAAACATGTAAAAATCCTTTTTACAGACTTTGCTCCTTGACCAATGGACCCATTCTGTTGCTGGAGACTATTGCATTTTTCCTTAGATAGGCTTTCCTACACTGTGCCAGTAAGATAAGGTGCATATGAGCAACCAGGAACAGCTAGTTTGTAAAGACAAGACCTGAAATAGAGGGGGAAGGGACAAGAAAAAAAAGAAACAAGAAGACTAGAGAGCGTTAAGGGGCCCTCTTGGCTTATCCCATGGAAACAAAAGCATGTGCATAATGGCTTTTTATATATTAGGAGCCTCAGAGTATTGCTGGAACTCCATGTGGGCTGTACTATTTCTGTTGGTTGGGGAAGCTGACCCAGAAAGTTAAAGTGGCTAGTTCACCTAAAGGGTGAGCCAAGATTTGGCCACAGTGTAACACCAAGGCTATCAAACGACTAAACCCTGCCATGGCCTCTCTGTTCAGTATTTGGAACCAATTAAATGGATTCTCAGAATGGAAAGGAGCTTAGGTAACATGAACTGCCCTGCTAGCCTGTAGTGGAAAATTCCCTGCCTCTGAAGACAGCTTGAAGTTGAGAAGTTGAGAAGCCTCGGATTCCTCCAACAAGCCTTCTCTTGCAGGAGTAGTTTGGGGTTTGTTTGGTTTTGCTTTTCCTTCTTGCCCCATTCCTCATCTGTGGGCAGAGCTTTTCAGTATCTGTGGTACACCTGACCAGGACGCCTTAGCCTGTCCTCACCTTCGTTTTCACCAATCTTTCACAGGTGCAGCCAGCCTTTTTACAATTTCCTAATTTCTCTTCGTTGGGTTTACATAAATCTGTCACTGTTCTCAAAATGCTAGAACTAGAGACAAGAGTCGGGGCAAGTAGGAGGACTTGGCTCATCTTTCTCTAGACTTCTGTTAAGTTACTTTGTCCCCACCCACTAAACTTTTTGAAAGGGGTGTCAAATTCAAGGTAGACCTTCAGTTTTTTCTGTATTTATCTTTTCTTTTTTCAAAGTCCAAGATTGCAAATACTTTTTCATAGTGCACACCTATCAAATTTTCAGTCCAGATTGTGAGATATAATATTTCAAAGCCTTTAAAATATACAACGCACTGCTTTCTAAACAGCAGTAATTTTATCTGTGTTCTAAGTTGACACTCAACACAGGAGAGGTTCAAGATCTTAAAAGATCCACAAGGCAAACTCTGTTTATTGAATTCCATGCTGCTGTTAAAATGACCTTCCTAATTATATCAAAGCCCAGACTCAAAATAATTGCTGAGAACTCTATACCATGCAGCAGTGTTTTGAGCTATATCTTGTTTTTTTTTTTTTTCACTGCTGCCTTTGTCTTGTTTTGTAGCCTTGAACTTTTGATACTCCTTTCTCATTGCCTGTTCTGTGGGGTTTTTTTTTATTAAATTCTTATTAGGTATATTAATTTTAGTGTATGAGTATTTTGTCCACATTTGTATCTGTACCATTTGCATGCCTGGTGCATGCAGGGGCCAGAAGTGTGCCTTGGAACTAGAGTTACAAATGGTTTTGAGCCACCATGTGGGTGCTGGAAATCAATTCCAGCTCCTTTGCAAGAGCAACAAGTACTTTAAACTGCTAAGCCATCTCTCTAGCTCCTGGAATGCTGTGATTACAGGCATTCATCACCACACCCAGATAAACTGTTTTAAAGTACATTACAACCATCCCTATGTGGCTACTGAACGTGAATTAAAATTAATTTGAAATAACCTTTTTGTATACTGTAAATGTGTATTACTCTCATTGGTTAATAAAGAGCTGACTGGCCAATGGCTAGACAGGATTTTCAGACCAGGAGGGGCGGAGTTCAGGGAGTCTGAGGAGTCACTAGGAAGAAAACAAGACATGCAGGAGAGGTAAAAGCCATGAGTCTTGGGGAAGTACATAGATTAATAGAAATGGGTTAATTTAAGTTATAAGAGTTAGCTAGTAATAAGCTTGAGATATTGGCCGAGCGTTTATAATTAATAAGTTTCTGATGGTAATTTGGGAGCAGATGCCAAAACACAAGAGAAACTCTGTATACACTCAAGTTTTGCAAAAATGTCATTGGTAACTAGTACAGCCAACACCAAACTGAAGTGCTGCTCTCTGGTGCTTTAGCTAAGAAACAAGTGAAATATGGAGACCCCTCATTGTTGAGCACCTTCCCAATAAGTAATTAGCTTGTTAGTTTTCTGTAGGTGGTCAAGGAAAAAATAGTTTAGCATTTGTGTCAGCCTGTCAGTCACTGAACAGTTACTTTGTACTGTGCTAATTTATCAGCTCCTTTACACATCTCCCTTTCCTCTCCTTGTGGGATATACATGTGCACCCATATATGTGTAGACCAGAGATCACCCTCAGATGGTGTTCCCCAGGAGCCATCCATCCCCCTGGATTATTTTAAGGCAAGGTCTCTCATTGGGACCAGAGCATGCCAGGCTCCCTGCTAGGAGAGCCTCCCCAGCAATGGCATTATAAATGTATGCCACCACGCCCAGGTTTTTTGTGTGTGTGCTGGGGATTTAATTTGGGTCTCCCTGCTTGTTCCATGGATTCTACTGACTAAGTTATCTCTCTGGCTGCTGATTGAATTTAATTGTTTTACACTTATTTATTGTACATGTGTGTTTTGCTTGCCTGTTTCTTTGTGCAGCATGTGTATTTTGGGGACTAATGAGGTCAGAAGACAGCATCAGATCACCTGGAACTAGAGTTCCAGATGGTTGAAAGCCCCTGTGTGGGTCCAGGGAACCAAACCCAGTCCTCTGCCAGGGTAACAAGTCCTCTTAACAGCTGAAACGCTCCCTCTGTTGTTCCGATTTATTTTTTATAACACACACCAAAAGAAGGCACTGCGATTTTCCCCATTTTTTTTTTTTCAGATTAGGAACCCAACACTTACACAAGATGGCATGCAGCTTTGCCTGATATCAGGTCACTGAAGAAAAGTAATGTCAGGACTCTTGGATTTCAGCATCATGTTCTGTATCACTATCCTCAGATAAACATAAGCTGTTGTAGCCATGACTTCCTCTTCTGCTGGTCAGGAGTAACCACTGGGAGTCATCTTGAAAAGTTTTCATAAGAGTTTAAAGTAAAAACTGCATTGCTGCACTTACTGACCCAGTGCATGTTCCCAGAATGACATGCTAGACCTGCAACTTGGGTTTCATTCTTACCAACATTAGTTTTATAATACAGCATTTAATCATTTAAAAAACATTTTATTTTATGGGTATGGGTATTTTGCCTGCATGTATGTCTGTATACCATGTTTTGGCTTGTACCCATGAAGGTCAACAAGGACATCGGATCCCCTGGAAACTGGAATTGTGAGCCACTATTTGGGTCCTGGGTCCTCTAGAAGAGCAGCTCTTAATCTCAGGGACATCCCTCTAGCCCCAACATTTGATCTTGTTTTGAAAATGACTGTTAGTTAGCCAGGCATGGTGGCGCACACCTTTAATCCCAACACTTGAGAAGTAGAGGCAGGCAGATCTCTTCCAGTTTGAGGCCAACTTGGAATGCATAGTGAGTTCCAGGACAGCCAGGGCTGTTATACAGAAGACACCCTGTTGGGGATTGGGGGGTGGGAGTGGGGGGTGGGGTG